AAAAATGTTTTCGCAGAACTGCTAATATCAAAGAACTCTATAATTTTAAGTAGAATGGTTTTGTTCAGACCACTGGCAATTTAAGTTAAGGGCCAGGTGGTGTTTCTTAAGAAGAACACTTTACTGGAATCCAGAGCGTGTCAACGCCAAGAGCAGCTCTATCTGTCAAGGGAACAGAGGCAGCTCTTACTGGCGGAGGTCGTACAGCTCTTTGAGGCACGGGAAGCTGGGCGCCGGTTTCTGCTGGCCACATCCTCCCTGGTTCCTTCTCCCTCGGCCAGACGACTTCAACTCTTCCACTTGGCTCTGAAGATGATCGATGTTGGTTTGCAGACATTCAATTGTTTCCGTCAGACTGTGAGAAACAGACAAAAGGCAATTGGCAGGCGTCACATTAAATAAGGGATAAGCGGGGACTGGAGATTAGTTGAGAACCACTCAAACTGGTCTTTCTTAGTGAGAAAGCACTTCTATTCAATCTCACCCATAGATAATGACATTGACCCGAAGCCCCTCTGAACCATGTTCTAGTCCAGTACGCATACTAGTGGGGGCTTTCTTCACCAGTTCTAGAAAACTTACCTCAGAATCTTTTGCTGTGAGGCCTTACTGTCAGCTACTAGTTTCTGATTTGTTTCTTCCAGTTCTCTTGCCGTGACATCTAATTGCTCATAAACTTTTGCGTGTTGTTCGTTCATCTGCCGCAGAAGCTCCACCTGCTTGGTCAGATACTGTACGAGAAGATGAACGTGACCAGGTTACACAGTCAGCAGAGAAGACGGCACGTGTTTATTTTATGAAAAAACTTTAAATTCCAAACTGTTGGACTTACTAGGAAGTCAGCATAGGTCTTCCTTTATTTTCCTAATGTTTCAAAAATACCCTTAATGTGTGATGAAATTAATACTCAACAGGAAAATTTAAAGAGAAAAAGAAGGTATTGTGATCAGTATTTAAGCAAAAATATATTTAACAAATAAAAAGCTTAACTGGAGAATTTTAGATGATTTTCACTTGAAAAGCAAAGTAATTTTTTTTCCTGAGTGAGGTATTCGGTACAAAAATGTGGGAAAGGGCAGTGAACTTAATAAGGAGATATTTAGCTTTTGCCATTTCAAAGACCCTTATTATTTTTAATTCTGTGAGAAATTTATCACCCTAATCCTCCTTATTCATAAGAAATCTACCAGATTAATTTGGTACTGCTAAAATCCCTTCCTAAATGGCGAGGATACAGGGGAATTAAAAAAAAAAAAGTTTTATTGGCATAATTCACATACCGTACAGTTCAGTGGCTTAACTATATTCAAAGAGTGCAAACACACTCTTTGTACCTTCATGTGAAGCCACCTTGTTCTCTTTATCCAACTCCACCACTGTAAGGTACTGAAATACAATATATACTCCAAATAGGCATAACCAGAAAGAACCTATCAAGTAGGTTTGAGGCATCACCAATGACCAAATGTAATACAATGGAAACATTTTTTAATTAAAAATACTCTTTTTAGGGCTTTTTATAGAATCATACAAGTATTTGCAAGGCCAATAGATTTCTTTCAATAGGCTAAGTGATGGTCAATGGTCTTATAAAAAAAGCATTGTGGTGGAGTTGAGTATTATAGTTTTTTCCCCTTCAACTATAGTTACACCACTAGCTGTGTGCTGAGCAAAGAAACACAAACTCTCTGAACTTCAGCTTCCTCATTGGAAACCTTGGGACCAGAAATGTTTTAGAAAGTCCGCTGGATTGTACAAAGTCAACCTCTTCACCCGTGGTTATCATGAGTGGAGGAGGAAGGGTTTTGCTTAGGGGCACTGAGTATATTTTAATGGTGGTGGAACAATTTGGAGAGGGACAACATAATGGTTATACAACACGAAGACTATAATCAATGGCACTGAATAACACAAGGGAAAGTTGTTTAATTAGTAAATGTTTGTTTATATTTTTGCCAAGATTGAAAAAAAATACATGAGTAAAAATGATTGTGGTAAAGATTGTACAACTCTTCTTGATATGGTTTAAATATTTAATTGTATGATTTGAGGATGAAGTGCCAATAAAACTGTTTAAAAAAAAAGTCAACCTAGTGTATGTACTTTACATTTTATAATACCCCCATGAGGGCAGCACCCTGTAATCAAGCGTTAGGGGTTTTTTGCATCAAAATGTGTGGCTAGAGATTATATACAGCCTCACATCAGTTCAGATCCCGGTTTGCTACCAAATGAACAGGCTGCCAACTTGAGGGGAAAACAATTTTGGTTACAGAGCTTGCTGGGTTTGTAGACGAACGAAACACCAAGAACCAAACCCAAGCTAAAAAAAAGCCCAATCCTATGGCATCCAGTAGAGTCCAATTCACAGTGACTACACAGAAGGTTCCCAGGAGGTACACCTTTATGGGAGCGTAGACTTGCTTCCTCTCTCTCCCTCCGGGTGGGTTGGAGCTGCCACCTCTGCGGTTGGCAGCCCAACAGTTCCCGGCAGCAGCATCACCAGGGCCCCGCCCCTCTCCCTTCTCTGAATCTCACCAGTTTCCCTTGGCTCCCTTAGAAATCAATCACTGATTCTCACCAAGGAAGTGCTGAACTGTAGCAGTGTACCGTTAATTCCACCGCCACTGATGCAAATGTGTTTAATCGTTCAGAAATAATGTAGGTAAAAAACTGCAAGCCCAGAAATATCTGTAGTAGCTGCAGAAGTTTTGCTGGCTCTTGTACACCAAGTAAACATTCATTTAAATGTAGTATGTCAACCGTTCATAGATAGGTTAGGTCTCAAGTGTTCTTTATAACAACTTTAAAGTGCAGTGAATTACTTGATCTGGTCCTTGTAGCCATACTTTCTATAAGCCCCACGAAATGGTGACTATGCAAATGTGTGGTGCTTGTAGCCTAATCAGGGAACTGGATAGCTAGCTAATCATGTAAATAAGGTACATGACACTCTTGTGGGTTGGGACCTTACAAATAGGTTATGTGGAATCCTAATGTGGACATTAGTCAGTTTTACCATCTGACCAGGCTTAAAATGAGCCATGCCAGAGGCGGAAAGTACACCCTTGAGACTTTAGGGAACTGTAGCCTAAGTTGGTATAGTGGTTACAAGTTGGGTTACTAACTGCAAGGTCAGCAGTTCAAAACCAAAAGCCTCTCAGTGGCAGAAAGATGAGGCTTTCTACTCCTGTAAAGAGTTACAGTTTAGGAAACCCCCAGGAACAGTACTACCTCATTCTGGGGGTCGCTCTGTGTTGGCATCAACTCAATGGCAGCGAGATTGTTTTTTAATTTTTTTGGAGATGTAGAAGCCCTGCATTTAGAACCTCCATGATCCAGGAGAAAGAGCTGTTGCACCAGATACAGTGGGAGATGGTGAGAAGTCGTGGCAGCAGAGAAAACAGAACCCAGAGACTGGTATCCGTCAGAGCAGTGGGCTCCCTGGCCCACAGATTGAGAAAGCAGAGTGCCTTTGGGCAGCGGGGTGCCTCCAGCGTTTGGTGGGGATACAGTGGACAACCTGGAGAGCGAGAGCCTAGGGCCTTTGCAGAGACAGTCATCTAGCCACTCGTGGGAGTTACAGAAAGTATGGCTAGAAGGGTCAGATCAGGTAACTCACTGCACTGCAGCCTCTTTTTTAGAGATTGTTATAAATTAGTCCCAGGAATACTAGGTACCATAGATACCAATGAGATATAAAAGGCCCTGATGCGTGCCATCGTGGGTTACTACACTGAGCTAAGCACAAGGTCAGAGGTTTAAAGCCACCAGCTGCCCTGAGAGAAAAAGATGAGACTGTTTGCTCCTGTAAAGTTTTAGTCACGGAAACCCGAAGGGTGAGGCTCTCCTCCATGCTATGGAGCTGCTATGAGCTGGAACAGACTTAATGGCAGTGACAGCAAGTTGAGTAAGTGATCTCTCACACTTGCTAGACCAGTGGAAGAGCGTATATGTGGTTTATAGGAACCTGGAAAATTTCTGCTGCTATGGAATATATTCCTATGTTCAGACATGCTAAAACTAGTACAAGTTTACTTTGGTGAATTTTTGGAAATCTATGCAACTTTTAAAATAATATGAAAAAAAATATGCATTTTCTATGAACTTTTGTTGGAGACCCCCTCAGAAAGCAGACATCTTGAGCAGAGGCAACACCCACAGCCAACATATTATAGGAACTCTGATAGCAACAAGGCTGACCTCCCTGGGGTTCCACTCAGCGCAAGACAGACAACCCCTTGTCCACCTGGTAACTGTCAGGTGCTGGATGATACAAACTCCTACAGAAAGTTCCCTACAATGTTGAGCCTACTGGGAAAGAAAATATAACAAAGGTTTGGGGGAAGGGGGGTATAGAGGGGTTGAAGTGATAAGAGGGAGATGATGTCAAGAAGTCCATGAAGGAGAAGTGCTTTGGAAAGCAAGTACAGTGAACCCTCGCCACTTCGCGCTTCGACTTCCGCGGCTTCACTCTATCGCGGTTTTTGCGTAACAGCGCATGCTCTGTCATTACTGCCA